TTTTTCTAAAGGCTTTATTTATTTGAGAGAGACACAGAGATAGCAACAGAGAGAATGAGCGGGGAGCAGAGGGAGAAGCAGCCTCCCTGACCCCGCGGAGCAGGGAGCCCGACGCGGGGCTCGATCCCAGGACCCTGGGATCATGACCTGAACCGAAGGCAGATGCTTAACTGACTGAGCCACCCAGGCGCCGCCAATTCTGAGATTTTTGCTGGGATTAGGAGCCAAGAAGCCATCCTTGCCATAAAAGGGATAAATCTTCCTGAAAATAAAGCCAAATTACAATGGAGAAGAGCCTGGAATAGCCCGGAAAGTAGGAGATTCACTTGCAAGAGCAAAGTTTTGTTGAAAGAAGAAATTATTTAGGTGTTCCAACAAATCGGATCTTGGAAGATTGACCAAAGAATTTGTTCTATAAATCGAAGAATAGAAAGGAAACAGGATATGACATCAGAACAGTTGCCCATCACACAGGTTTTCCTGGGTGTGGGGAAGGAGCTCAGAGAGATTTGGCAAGGTCAAAACTAGATTATAAATGTCGCATGGCTTCTCTGAGAAGAAACTCAGCTAGAGGGGCAGAGAGAGATCCCGGACCCAGAGAGGTAGAGGATACATCTGAAATCAGCAGGATTGTGCCCCAATCCCCAAGCATAGCTGACAGACTACGAGCCTCTCAGAGAAGTCCTAATTACAGCACAGAGCTTGTGGTGCTTCTAAAATAGGTCCACAAATTCTTCGACACCCCTCCCTTCAAAAGTTGGAGCCAAATTCCCCTCCACCTGGACTTGGTGACTCACTTCTAACAAATAGATCATGGTCAAAGCAACTGTACGGAACCTCCAAGTCTAGGTGGGTCATTAAGGGCATTGAGGCTTCAATCTTACTCTCTTAGATCACTAGCTCCAGGGAAGCCAGCTGCCATGTCGTAAGGACACTCTAACAGCCCTATGGAGACATCTGCGTGGCAAGAAATTGAGGTTTTCTATCAAGAGCCAGCAAGAAATGAAAGCTTCCTGCCAAGGGCCAAGTGAGTAAGCCACCTTGGGAAAGGATCCTCCATGTCTTCAGATGATTGCAGCCCTGACCCTTATCTTGGCCATAACCTCTTGAGAGACCCTGAGCCAGAACCACCTAGCTAAGCAGCTGCCAGATTCTTAACCCACAGAAACTGTATGAGATAATAAATATTATTGTTGTTGTTTCAAACCACTAATTATTTTTTTTAATTTTATTTTTTTAAGTCATATCTCCACCCAACATGGACTCAAACTTACAAGCCCAAGAGATCAAGAGTCGCACACTCTACCAACCGAGCCAGCCAGGCACTCCTCAAACCACTAAGTTTTGAGATAATTTGTTAACAGCAGTATATAACTAATCGTGCTAGACTGCAGCGAGATGCTTGGGCAGTAATGATTATGGCAAATAACCAAGAGATGAGCCTAAGGGGAGACTTACACCAAGCCCTGTACATTCCATGCTGTTGGCCAGAAGACAAGCTGAGAGTTCCTCACTCTCCTAGGAGACACTCCAGACCATGGGTATCATAGGTAGAAGATATAACACCCAGAAGCTTGGGAGTTCGTATCCAAACACCATGCCCAGAGGCCTGGCCTAACCAGCCGTGTCTCAGCCTATTGGGAAACGCAACATGCAAAGGCGGAATGAGAAGAGATTCTTCCGCACAGGATGGCAGTGCCTGGACCAAAGATCTCCTACGCCCAGGTGTCCAGCGGGGAGAGGGAAGGGAGAAGACGGATGAGGTACTCTGAAAGACTGAGAATTTACTCACAGAAAACTGAGTGAACTGAGAACTTTTAAACTAGAAATGAGAAAGTTACTTTGGTTGGTTGAGTTTAAGTTTATTCCACTGCCAAAGAGACGCGTTCATGAGCAAGTTGTGTTCAACTATAAGTAATAAAGTTCTAGGGCGTCTGGGTGGCGCAGTTGGTTAAGTGTCTGACTCCAGCTCAGATCATGATCTCAGGGTCCTGGGATCGAGCCTGCATCAGCCCCAAGTCAGTGGCAGGCTCTGCGCTCAGCAGGGAGTCTACTTCTCCCTCTCCCTCTGCTCCTCCCCCTGCTATGCTCATGCTCACTCGTGCTCTCTCTCTCTTTCTCCCCCACCTCAAATAAATAAACAAAATCTTTTTTAAAAATTAAAATTAAAAAGAGGTTCTGTTTCCGCACATCTGAGATGGACTATAAATTTTCAAACCACTACATATTCTTATTTATTTCAGACAAAGAAAAACAAAACGAATGCCCACGTACCCACTACCTCACTTAAGAAATAAGAAGTCAGTCTCCCCAGTACTCCTCCTGGACTGCTTTTCTGCTCACCCCCACAGGTAAATGCTATCCTGAGGTTTTTGGGTTTGTTTTTTTTTTTCATTTTCACTCCCATGCATTCCTTTTTACTTCAACTGCAAATCTGTCTCCTCAATAAAAAGTGCATTATTTTGCCTATATTTAATCTTAAAATAAATAGTACCATATTGCAATTACTTTCCTTCAAGTTCTTTTTCGTCTTAACATTATAGTTGTGAGATTCACCCATGGTGAAATTTGTAATTCCAGTGCATCTAGTTAATTCAATTTCTTAGTCTGTTTAAATGTACTATGGATACTGATTATTCCTCTTATCTTATTTTGAGCTTTCCAGTTTTGTCTAAACTTTCTTTTTTTATTATTTCTTGGTAACTTTTTTTGAATTGATTCAATTATTGTTTCTACTGACTTGGAAGTGCACCTTTTATTTCTGATATGTAATGGTACATTTTTCAAATGTTTATGTCACAAAGTTTAATATTATTCAGCATTGTTATCCTTCTCCAGCAACTCAGCTCCAGCTGCATTATTGCTGACTCAGATTTTAGTTCTGCTTCAATTTTTACCCACAAATCAAATAGTATTGTGGTGCTTTATTTGGCCAATATTTGTTTATATTTACCCATTTGTTTACCAACTTTTGGACCATTATTCCCTTGCATCTCACACCTTCCTTTTGAAATCAGTCTCTTTTTTCCTGACAAAATTTGTAAGTCTGATGATAGTAAATGCTCTCTTTTTTGTCTTGTCTAAAACTACCCTTGGTTTACCTTCCCTCTTGAATGCCAGTTTGTAAACAGTTCTAGAATGGCAAAATTATTTTCTCTTCACGTTTGAAGGTTTTATTGTATTACTCCACTGGCTTATATTGTTGTAGTGAAGGTGTCTGTTGTCCATTTAACTATTATTTCTTTATAGATAATCTGTCTTTTACTTCTGCCCTCTTTTAATACCTCTTCTTTGTATTTGTTTTTATACTTTAAATATGGTGTGACTATGTATGGATTTCTTTTTATTTATTCTACTTGAGATTCATTTTGCTTATTGAATCTGAGTAGTCATATCTTTTATTAATTTGGAAAAGTAATCAGCTATTATCTCTATAAATATTTTCTGTGTCCCCTCCTCTGTCTCCTCTCTTCTGAGATTCCAAATAGAAGACTTCGAATCAGGGCAGCTGGCTGGCTCTGGTGGTTAAGGGTCTGCCTTCAGCTCAGGTCATGATCCCAGGGTCCTGGAACTGAGCCTGCCCCTCCTCCCCCTTCCTCAGGACATAGCCCACCAAGAGCTTTATGCAGGGGTCCCAGGAATCATCTGCTGTCATCCAAACCTCTGGGTTACTGAGACTTAAACCAACCACAAGGTAACCTCAAAAACCTTTGTTTTTGGTCTCTGAGGGTTTCCTTTATTTTCTAGTTCCCTTCACAATGCATTTAAATGGAGATGTGTAAACTTTACCCAGCATATCCAGGAAATTTGCAATGGGAGGGTTTTTTTTTTTTTTAGGAGATATATGCCACCATAGTGTTCTTCCCACAAGTTTTTAAATCATTCAGTTTGCAGTGTGTGGAACAGTTTAGAGAAGAGAAACACACAGAAGCAGGGAGACCTACTAGGAGACTACTGCAGAAATTTACACAAAAGAGGATAATAACTTAAAGAAGAGTGGTGGTAGCAGAGACAAACAGAAACAGATGGAGCTGGGAGATATTTAGTAAGTAAAATCAACAGGGTTTCAGACATCCAAAAAGAGATGTCTAGTAGAAAGTTTTAATAGGGGTTAGGAGGCCAGAGGAGAGATTCAGGTTGCATAGGATACTAGGAAGTCTCTGAAAAACTGGTAACTAAATTGTTACCGAAACTCAAACTTGTCTGTGCACCTGAAGCCAATGTCTGAGACACCAGTTTTGAAGCAAAGAAAGTTCTATTATCAGCAGAGCAGCCACCTCCAAAGCTGCCTTGTCCTGTTGAACCTAGGGACAGCTTACGAAACGAAAGCCTTACATCTGTTTGGGGAAGGAGGTGAGTATGTGAGAGGAAGGTTTCTTGAAACCCTGAAAGGGGGCAATCGGGAGGTATGCATTTATTCCAGAGAATGAAGGGTCAATCAGGACCTGGTACATCAGATAATTTCAAGACAAATGTTTTTGTCCAGCACTCATTAGTTTTCCACAGTCAGTGGGTAAACAGGGAGTAGGGGTGGAAAAGGCAAAGTTCACGATTGATAAGAGGTGCTAAAACATAAGTAGGGAACAAAACAGAAGGTAGACCTAAGTTAATAATGCAACTAACACAACTATAGTTCTGCTTATGCTTTCAAAGCAGGTCCAGGAACCAGGTGTCCAGACTCAAATTCACCAACATAGATACTTGGAAGAAAATGCAGAGGGAAGAGAGGAAAGTCTTAGGACCCAGCTTCGAGAAATACCAACATTTTAAGACCTCAGAGGAGGCGAAGGAAGCAACAGAAACTGAAAAAAGACAGGAGAAAAACCCAGAAGAGAGCTGCGGCTTTCACTGAGGCCAAGAGATGAGCATTTCCAAAGGGAGGAAGTGTCCAGCAAGTGTCCAGTGAAACAAAAGTCAAGAAAAATGACTGGGCATTCGTTTTGGTGACACGGGAAATTGGTGATCTTGGCTAGAGTCAATGAATGATAAAGGCAGGAGCGGTGCTCGCTTTGCCAAGCACATACACTAAAATTGGAACGATACAGAGATTAGCATGTCCCCTACGCAAAGATGACACGCAAATTCGCAAAGCATTCCATATTTTTAAAAAAGAAGAAAAAAGACGGGAGTGAATTAGGGAATAGAAAATGGACACCACTCCTTTGAGAAGTTTGGCTATGCAGGCGACGACAGAGAGAGGGCCTTCGCATTCGAAGAAAAGGGCTGGAGATGTGTTATTTTAAGAGGAGGGTAACTTTATAATGTTCTAAAGAAGACAGGAAGGAACCGGAAGAGGGAAAAGAAAAGCTAAGAGGCCGGGTCGAAAGAAATCCATAGTACGGGTAGACGAATTCTCTTGCATTACTACTGATCCACCAGGCTGAATGGACGTCCAAATTTCGGCGGTTTGAGTACCTACAGGCTTTCGGTCAAGGGGTTTTGGGGGGTTGGAGTTTTGCTCTGGTTTGTTTCTGCATGAAAGCCTTGCCTCCTCGGCCTTCTTCCCTTCTTTCCCCGCCCACTCGGTGTGTGTCCACCGCCCCCCGCCCGTCCCCGCCCCTCCTTGCAATGAAATATACTGCCTTCTCTATGAATTCTTCCGGGTCGCCAGGCAGGGCCACGCCCAGTCTCAATCCTGCCCGCCCCCCCATTGGAGCGCGCTTCCCGAAAGACGCATGCGCACAGAGGGCGTAGTCGTTTCCAAGATTGGGCACCCCCACTACCGCCACCAAATCTTGCGCAAGCGCGTTAGGTCCTGGTCGCTATGCGGGTGCTTGTGGGTGAGGGAGGGCAGAAAGGGGGAGTCGGGGGCGGGCTTATGGAACGGTTGAAACAAAGCTTGAGAGGTGGGAGGCAGTCTCTGAGGGAGGGCACTAAAACGTGCACAGGTAATCGTGCAGCGGCTTTGGCCTCCTACCCCAGGAAGCCGAATCTCCCCAGTCCCTGTGACCTGTGTCACCTCTGCATCGCGGGGAGGGGGCGAGAAGGAGGGGAAAAGTCTGAAGTCAGCTGGGATGGCAGCAGAGGACGGGGCCACAAGCGGGGACGGAAGGCGACCCCGAGAGGATAAATACCTCGTATTTTCTGGCCAGGTGGCGGGACTGGCTTCATTGGGACAGCCCTAACCCAGTTGCTGAAAGCCAGGGGCCATGAAGTGACGTTGGTCTCCCGAAAGCCGGGGCCCGATCGGATCACGTGGGTATGTCCATCCTCTGGAAGCTCTGGGGGACGGTCCGGTTTGGCGGCGCAGGGCGAGCCCCCACAACCCCCCCCCCAGCACTGTGTTTTCTCTGACAGGATGAACTTGCTACGTCGGGGCTGCCCCGCTGCGATGCCGTTGTCAACCTGGCGGGAGAGAACATCCTCAACCCTCTCCGAAGGTCAGCCACGGCCCTGAAGCTGATAGCCTTCAGAGCAGAGGGAGGACGGTGTGACCCTGATGAGCTGTGGAGAATGGAGATGTCAGATTGAGAACTAAACTCCAATCCCAAACTACTCATCCCGCCCCACTCTTCCCGGCACACCTACCTGCCCTTCTGCCCTCTCAGCCGTTGACTTTCGTCCTCACTTATAACTCAGGATGCCCAAAATATATGCATTTTCTTTCCCCAGGAAAGATGGACCATTTCTCTAAACCACAATGCAGGGTTTACCTGGAAATGGGTCTGGATGAGCCCCACGGAAAGCGAGCCCCTGTCAGAGAAAACACAGAGCCCCACGGAAAGAGAAAGGGATATGTTCATGGCTCATTTCCTTTTTGTTTCTCCTGCAGGTGGAATGAAACCTTCCAAAAAGAGGTTCTCAGCAGCCGCTTGGAGACCACCCAGATACTGGCTAGAGCCATCAACAAGGCCCCACAACCCCCCCAGGCCTGGGTCTTAGTCACTGGTGTAGGTATGTCCCAAATCACCACCCTTTATATTAGCCAGAGGAAGAGAGGTCACAGTGAGGGGCTAGCTCAGGCCCTTCTAGCTCTACTTGCCCCAGAGCGCTGGTCTTTTCCAAATACAGAACTTCCTAGGCCCTCCATCCATGCATACTTCTTCTGACCGTTGTGTACTTTCACTGAGAAATGGGGATCCCTAGAGGAAGAGGGGATAGTGGCACTGCTCCTGATGCCGGGAAAAGTCCCACCTACTCCCAAGTCCCTTGCCTGTCATGGCACAGTTCCTTAGGAACGGAATTCCTGATTCTTATATTTCACCATTGGGACGGGATAATTACAACTATAGAACATATGTCACCTGCTACTCCAAGTGTTTTACATGTATTACAGCATTTAATCCTCACAGGACCCCTAGAAGGTAGGTACTATTATGACTCCCATTTTAAAGGTGCCAACAGAGAGCTTATATAATTTGCCTGAAGTCACAGGCTTAATAAATGGTGGAGCTCAGAGTGGATCTCGGGCAGCCTGGCCCCCAAGTCTTTGCTCTTAACCACTACACACTAGCAGCCCCTCAACTTAGCCCTGCAATTAAAGATAAGTTACCCCAGGGCAGCAACGGGTCAACCCATGGAGCAGCTCAAAGAGAAAGTATCTATGGCTCTGTCTTCCCATGGGAAGATCCCAGGGGCCGAGAAGGGTGAGACCAAGAGGAACAAGGGCCGGGCAGGACCGAGGATACTGGGGCAAACCAGTGCTGTTCCACCGGCAGCTTACTACCAGCCCAGCCTGACTGTGGAGTATGATGAGGACAGCCCAGGAGGGGATTTTGACTTTTTCTCCAACCTGGTAACCAAATGGGAAGCTGCAGCCAGGCTTCCTGGAGAGTCTACACGCCAGGTGGTGGTGCGCTCAGGTGAGAACCAGGCTTGGGTATCAGACAGGGTTGGAATGTCCACCCTGGGCTGGGGGCCTGGAGGAGTCAGGGGAGCTGAGCGTCCAGAGTGAGAGGAGGCTGCCGTTTCTGGCCAGCCTGCAGGTGGGAGGACGCGAAGCCCCAGAGAAAGCTAAGTTGGCATGGAGACGGGGAGACCGGGAGAAACAGTGGAACAGCCTGGAGGTTGAGGAGCCTCACATGCTGTCCCTCTTGCCTGTTCTAGGGGTTGTGCTGGGCCGTGGGGGCGGTGCCATCGGTCACATGCTGCTGCCCTTCCGCCTGGGCCTGGGGGGCCCCATTGGCCCGGGCCACCAGTTCTTCCCCTGGATTCATATCAGGGACCTGGCAGGAATCCTGACCCATGCCGTCGAAGCAAGCCACGTGCAGGGGGTCCTGAATGGAGTGGCTCCAGCCCCCACCACTACAAATGCTGAGTTTGCCAAGGCCTTCGGTGCTGCCCTGAGCCGCCCAGCCTTCATTCCTCTCCCCAGCGTGGTGGTGCAGGCGGTCTTTGGACGAGAGCGTGCCATAATGCTGCTGGAGGGCCAGAAGGTGGTCCCACGGCGGACACTGGCCACGGGCTACCAGTATTCCTTCCCAGAGTTAGGGGCTGCGTTGAAGGAAGTCGTAGCCTAAGTGGGGAGGCTCCTGGCAGGGCCTGAGGCCTGCCCCTCTACAGAGGCTTCCTGGTTAGAGACTGAATACGCTCAGGTACTCCTCTGAGACCTGAAACCATCTGGTTCTTAGGGATTCCCCTCCCTGCCCTCCTTCTCATTGTTCTGTTGCTCCACCTTATTTAACTGAGAGACTGTCCACAGTGTCACGGTTGCAGTCTCATCAAGCTGGGTCCTTAACCTCTTCAACTCCTTGTAAAAGAATTTCCAAGTTTGGTTTCCCTGCGTGTTCCGTTACTGTCCCAGGTATCCTTTATATGTTGTGTAGAATGCTCTGCTATTGAGGCAATAAAGATAAATTATCTCACAGGCTTTGGTTTGCTTCTTTGGCCTAGATTCTCCTGGAGTTTATGTCCGAGAAAATGCCGGATGACTCTTTCCCCTACGTGGGGCTCTGAACGTTATAATGGGCAACATCTCCCTTCTTGGTCCCTCCATTGCCAGAATGGTAACAAATCCGGGGCATGAGGTTATAATAAAGGTGGAGACTAGAAAATGAGAGAAATGATGATCCATTAACAGTGGGTTCTGTGGTCATCCTGCATACTTGTCCACACAGTGCCATTCGGGTGCATCAGAGGAAGAGACAAGGCCCCAGTCTAGAACAGCCTTCAGTCTATCACTGAACAGCGGTGAATAAAGCAATCACACATTGTCCTAAGTCAAGCTGCAGTAGGACAAAGCCAACATCCCTGTCTGTAAGAAGCTGAGGACTTGCCTCTCATCTGACTGGGACTTCAGGCAACCAGGGTCCCCAGCACAAAAGGGCAGATGATACCCCTGGCCTCCTGCCCTGGTTATTGGCCACAACTTAACCAGCAGTTCCCATATCCCCCAATTTGGGCCATCTTAACCAATCTCCTTTCTTCCCAGAGGACTCTGGGCTGTCTTTGAGCCACCAGCACCCCCTAACTAGCTTCTTTCCAACACACTTGCCCCCAGCTCAGGTCAATACAGGCTAGTGGTATAAAGCAGCAATGGGGAGGAGGGGTGAAGACCCGGGGACCCACAGACTCTCCAGCATCATCCAGCTCCCCACACTGGTTGCTGGAACGAAGAACTGAGGTGGCAGTAGTCAACTTGCTGTGCCTCAGGGAGAAGTGACAGCCTGAAAAGGACCATGTCCAGGGACCTGCCACAGATCCCAGACAGCACAGAATCCAAGGGCACCTAAGCTACTTCTTTATCTGGTCTTGGGCTCTTTAGGAAGTTGATGGGCTCTGTATTGTTCCTGAGGGAATGACCCATCTCAAGGGTAGAAGTAACAGAAAAGCGTATTTGGGGGCTGTGCTAAAGGAAGGTCTACTGACCAATGCTGTCCACGGATGAATGTGCGACCTGGAGGTAGTCAGGTTCCCTGCACAGGACTTTAAGCAGATAAAGGACAGGAGGGGCGCCTGGGTGGCTTAGTCAGTTAAGCAGCTGTCTTTGGCTCCGGCCATGATCCCAGTGGGATCGAGCCCCGCATCGGGCTCCCCGCTCTGTGGGAAGCCTGCTTCTCCCTCTCCCACTCCCCCTGCTTGTGTTCCCTCTCTTGCTGTGTCTCTGTCAAATAAATAAATAAAATCTTTAAAAAAAAAAAAAAAAAAGATAAAGGGCAGGATGTAG